TTGCTTAAAGCATACTAAACACAATGTAATCATAATATGACCACTAGAAGCCAAATGACAAACTTTGTAGATCCGTCAATGAATTGAAAAAGCAAAAGCTGGAGCCAGGTGCTGGGGGCGGGGCAGCTTAGTGTTGCTCCCATGCCTTCTGAGGGTAGAGTGTCACTGCTGCTTCCTGGAAAGGGGTGGGGCAGGGCATGAGGAGCAAGACACTGAATGGACCTGGCATCAGGAGCAGTGGACTGGCTCTGCTGCCCCATCCTCAGTGTGTCTTGCTCCCTGCTCCTTGCCCCTCTCCCTCAGAAACCAGCAGCAACGCTTTTTGTTCAGAAGGCAGGTGAGCAATGCCACCCTTTTCTGTGCACTACGGGAGCTACAGCATAATTTAGTTCAAACTATTAGATTTTACTTGCATGTAAAACAGAATAATATAGAGTACTACATGGTTTTTTTTGGTTTTTTTACCAAGCAGTGAAAATTGCTTTAATGGCAAACATTTGATCCAATGGAATTATCTACCTCTGGGACAAGCACATACTGTGCATGGGAAAGAACTTCTGACACCAAAATCAGCAGCAACAGTGCTTGGTGGATTATGCCCAGTGCAGGCATATCAGAGAACACAATGCTTAAGGCAAGCAAATAATGACCCCATGTCATCTTGGGACTGCCACTGGCAATTGTAATAATTAAACTCCCAATCATTATAATTCCAGTTGTTATTATTATTGCAGAAAGTTTTAAAATTCCTTCCTCTCATTTCTACCTTAATTATGTTAACCTTCAGTTGGTCTAGAAAATGGCTTGGGATAGGAGACTTTGGGGGACATGGAAAGGCAGGAAGTTTCCAGATTCCCCAAATAGTTCTTGGGGAGACAGGGGAGACAATGGGAGAACTTTCATCTCACCTGCAGCATTGGCAAAGGGGATGCAAAGGTCAGAGGTTTGCTCAAGTGTCTGCCTCCTAGACTAGGGAGAAAGTATGTGAGCTTCTTTCCTTTCTTGCAGAGCTTATTCATAGTAGTAATGGAATAGGCAAACTGTGTTAAATATAAACTATGGAACTTGCCCCTAAAGGAGGCAGTGATGGCCACCAACCTAGATTATTTGAAAACAGGACTGGGCATATTCATAGGGGATTAGATGGGCCATTGGCCTGATTCAGCAGGCTCTTCCGATGTTCCTATGCGTTGAGGGGCGTAATCTGAGGAAGAGGGTGTTGGAAGCTAAGACTTTGGAATGAAGTGCCCAGAAGAGAACTAAGCAGAAAGGCACTCTCAAACCATAGGCAAGAGATAAGAATTGAGAAGTGGCATCTGTTGTAGAACTCCAGAATATTTCCTAAGATTGGTTTGTGCAAGGGCAGAGGTTTGCTCAAAGGTCTCATGAAGTGCAAGGGAGTTTGGATGAGATCGGAAGAACAAGAATAGTCAGTGTGGTGTTCTCCAGATGTTACTGTGCTACAGCTCCCAACATCCTGGACTGCTAGCCATGCTGGCTGGGGAGTAGCAGTCTAGTAGCATCTGGAGGGCGCCATGTTGCCTACCCCTGAGACAGACAGTGACAGGAGTTGAGACAGGAAGAGCAACATATTTAACCCCCTGCATAATCTGAAGGAGACTATTCTATAGTCTCCTCTTCTTTTAAAACATCATATGGCACAGACAAAAATGATAATATGCAATCATCCAGTGTGAATTTGTCTCAGCCAAGACTGTAGGATCAAGCTCTTTGCAACTCATGCATGCACACAAAAAAAGATGAAAGCAGAAAGGGTTAAGCCCCTGCAAATCAATCTGCCTATATTTAAAAACAATTTAAATCTGCAAGCCCCCCCACTGCCACACTTATGTTGATCATTTCATTTCCATTTCATAGGGGCTTAAAATGTGATTCTGTGCAAAACTAAGTATAATGTGAAATGCACATATGCAACAAAGATCAAAAGCAGAATTGAGAGTGAAATATTCATACAAGGTAGCCCGGCGAGATTTTGTTCACAGGGGTACCTGTCAGGAGCGTAAACTCAGAAAGAAATCATCAAATAAGTACACAACACTATTGCTAAAAACTCCAGACATACAAATGGAGTGTGAGTTGTCTGAAATGCTGGACTGTGGCCAGCTTGTTGGCTCAACTGACTAATGCTTTGGCCTTTTCATCTCCTCCAGGTCTCAGTTCAGTTGCTCCGACTACTGGTTAGGTCAAATGCCTGTACCTGGTGCTGACATCCCTGGCATTCGTTTTAGAAGCAAAAGAGATGGGGGGGGAGACACACAAAGTCCATAAGTTCCCTTTGACCTAAGCCGCTGAAACATCTGTTGGTTGAGTCATGAGCTGCTTGTTGGCCAAGTTTGACAGCGACGTTGCCTGTTGTGGATTATCTCTCTCAGTGGTAGGTGTCAGTGGAATAAATAGATGTGTTTCAAGGGAAAGAAAAGCTCTCTCATAAACAGAGGCTGTGTACTGCCATACATTTGAAGTGCACAACTTATTCGAAACAATCCTGGGAACTGTAGTTTGCGAAGGGTGTTGGGAATTGAAGCTTTGTGGAGGATAAAATACAGTTTCCATTACTATTATTTGGGGGGGGGGAGCCATATGCTTTAAATATGTGTTGTACACATAGGCTACATTACTCTTATCAAATGAAAGTTTAATGACCAATAACATGCACAGATGAAACCAATGATGAAAGTGCAGGTTGAATGGCTACATTGGTGGGCTTTTTTGGGGGGGGGTTGCTTAATTTCTGTTCTTTGTAAGTGTATTTAAATATTCTACAAAACTAAAAAGGAACAAAAGCTTTGGCTTCCTGGAAAACTTTGTATATTGAAGATTGCTTCTACAATTTAGCAGATCTTGCAAGGCATGGTATTCAACTAAATTTTACTCCGAGTAGACCCGCTGAAATTAACGGGGCTAACTAAGTAATAAAATTTCATGGAAAACATTTTTAGCGTCCCTTTAAACTGATTAACTCCACTGAAGGTAGAACTCAGCTTCGAAAACAAAAAGCACTGCGTTTCAAGGCTGCTGGGAAAAGTCACAGCCTCCACAATAGAAGCCATATTTCAAAAGGTGGATGAATTGGCTTTGGTTATGCAATGATGAAAGAAGGGAAGCTTGTTCTTCATCGTTACTTTGCATTACCTTGAGCTGAATCTTCAGTCCCCAGACGAGATTACTGTCATTGAGTTGGACCCAATGCCTGTCCTACTCAGAGTAGACCCACTGAAGTTACTAGCGCCACTAGGCCGCTTCACCCGTCAGGTGTCATCTGGGGGCAACCATTCCTTCAGTCTGCCTCAGCAGGGACATAGGAAGCAGGGCTCCCTTCATCAGCTCTGCTGGAGGCCCAGTTCCATTAGGCACCACCTGCCCTTGAACTGTGTCAGCCAATCATTATAGGGACAACTGTTCAGAAATTGCTGCGTGAGTTTGGTTTTGATCTTCTCTTCCCTCCCTGCTCCTTTCCCCCTTGTGTGCTGTGTTTTTTGTTTGTTTGTTTGTTTGTTTAGGTTGTATGCCTGCAGGTAGAGACTGCCTCTTGTTTTGATTATTATATAAGCTGCTCTGGGAGCCTTTTTGGCTGAACAGCCAGGTACAAATGCTATAAATAAAATAAAATAAAAATAATTAAATAAGGTACATTGTCTACTTTGAGTAGGTCTTAGTTGAATACAACCCAAAGACTCTATTCAGACCTCCGGATCAATTTGCAATGTCCAGACAAACAACAGCAGGTGCAATCCTCCTTCTTCCAGGAACCGCTTATCCACAGCTCTTGCACCCTCCTCTGAAAGGACTACAAAGCAGGGAAGACTTCGTAGATAGATTGAGGAATGAAATGATTTTTATTGATATGTGCCCTGAGTGTTCTTGCACTGCTTATTTTTTAATAAATAAAAGCATAAACCATTTATATTTGAAACAGTAAATGTTCAGTCGTGCCCACTATGGAGCATCAGTGCATAACATTATTCAACCTAATAATTACATGAGCATTTCAGACATTTGGATAATCAGAATTCTATATAAATGGTTGTTCTTCTTATATCTAGTTATGGTGATTGTGGGGCCACATAGAGGAATTAGAAGGAGAAAAGGATTCAGGGTTTGATTAAAAATGATCTTAATTTGATAATTCATGGGGAAGCTTCTATTTGTCTTGCTTTAGTCCCTACAAGCATTCATTATGGGAGAGAAATAATCAGGGGAAATAGCTTTTCCCCCTATTTATGCAGTGGACACAGGTGTCATGGATATATCAACTATTTGCCTAAAACCCAAAGACTTTCAAAGCTGTCTCAGTAAAGGAAGCAACCCTTAATTCATTTATGCATGCATCTGATTTGCCTCAGATTACATCAAGCACTGTGATGAGATATAACTTGACATACCCCAGTGAAATGTATAAATAAATACATGGCATGAACTTAAAGAAATAGTGTTCCTTTACAGATGTGACCGATTGCTCCTACACAATATGGACAGATCAGGGTGCACAATAAAACTAAGGCCTCCGCACCGAGAGTCTGTGGACCACTGGAGGAATTCCATACATCTATTGCTTGTGGCTTTCCCCCATTTCTACGGTAACATCTAAAGTCAACCAATAGGGATGTTGGGGAGTTCCAATGAAACTGCAAGCTGCCATGTCACGTGCCCAGAACAGAAATAAATATAATCAGTATTCACTGTTGTTACTACATTCAGTCTGCAAACATTTCGTAATTGATTACGCCCTTCCCTATTTGCACTGTGCTTCCTTTGCACTCAAATGAAAAGGGCAGAACAACATTATTGCAACCTGTGGTAATTCACCACAGTGGACAGCACACAAGCAATGAATTTTGGCAGAAGACAAACTGCAGTGACACGGAAACATAACTGTGTGTAACGAATGCAGGGAGGAACAGAAAATGATGCCTTCATACATACATAAAGGTAAAGGGACCCCTGAACATTAGGTCCAGTCGTGACCGACTCTGGGGTTGCGGCGCTCATCATTCCAGAGATTGAACCTCAGACCTTCTGCATGCAAGGCAGGTGCTCTACCACTGGGTTATAGCCCTTCTCCAAGGTGGTGGGTGGGGTGTCACTGCACTGGGGTGCTTCTGTTTCCCCAATGGAAACTGATCCCTCCCTGAGGTTGCCATTAGTCCCATGGAAGTTGGATGGGGGGGACATCCTTGCATCAAGCCCATCATTTTTTCTCTAGCAAAACTAATAGGGGGGTTTGATAGTGGGGTAAGACCTTCCGCCTTAATCATTTAAAGTCAGGAGATCTGATCATGGACACACCCACCCCACTGCGGTTGTTTTGGCCCCTACCTGCAAGAAAGGGCCATAGTTCTGTGGTGGAGCATCTGTCTTGCAAGTATAAGGTCCCAGGTTCAATCTCTGGCATCTCTAGATAGGGCTGGGAGAGACTCTTGCCTGGGAGAGACTCACAGCTGCTGCCAGTCGGTTGGATTAACCAATGGTCTGACTCAGTATCAGGCCGTTTCCCATGTGCCTATGAGTTGATCTGACAAGTGCAGAGCACTGAACATCTGCCTTGACCCTCAGAGACGTGTGCAGAGGGTAGAATTTATCTCTCTTCAATGGAAAAGTAAGGACCCTTGGGAGGTCCCTCTTTCCAGCATCAGATGAAAGGGCAAACAACTTTCCTTCCCACAAAACCATTCATGATTTGCACCTGTTTTCCTGATGCGTTTTCTCTGCATAGAGATTATTTTCAGAAATGAGTCAGTTAACACTTCTGAGGTTCAAAGCTGGTCCCACTGAGAAAACAGAAGTTTTCAGAGGCAGAAGGAGTAGAAGAGGGAGGTGCTAAGAGCCGAGCTGATGGGATGTAGGTGGATCAAGGGAGGAGGAGAAAGGGGAATGTAGGCTTGAGCAGCAATGTCTATCTTTCCCTTTTTTCTTTAATCTTCAAAAGACAAAACCCAACAATCACCCCTTTGCAGAGCTCAGCAAAGGGAGAATATTGCCGTCAGTACAGATTTGCAAGAGATTTCTTTATTTTCACAATGGAAAACTGACAGAAGATACTGATCTCCCTCACCACAACACACTGTCTGGGCCCAGGCAAACCTCTGCTTAAATCATCTACCACCACGGTTGTGTTTATTAACTGAATGTGATCTGGAGAAAGAAGAGTGAAGCTCTCAGCTAGTAGCTTTAAAACCACCACTATATCTTGCCAAGCCTTCATAAGGAGATATGTGGTATAGTCTTCCCACAATGCAGTTTACTTTCACCAAGCACAGCAAAGTTGTGGCATTGATCCTGCAAGATCAATCTATAACTTAGTTTTTAACTCTGGAATTCTTTACTCAGTTGGTTAAGGTTGCCATATTTCAAAAAGTGAAAATCTGGATCTCCTTGCAGAGATCAGAACTTTCCCGGAGGACTAGACCCATGCTTCAAAGCGGCAAGCCACACCCTATGTACATTTCTGAATGAATGCTTGGCTGGCAAGTATTACATAAATGTAATATTAGTAGTATTAAATATAATCATCATCATTATCATCATCATCATCACCTCTACGAATTGCAAATTTCTTGAGCTGCAGTCATAGAATCATGGCATTTTAGAGTTGGAAAGTACACCAAGGGTCATCTATTCCAACCCCCTGCAATACAGGCATTACCATGTTAAAGAATCCCTGCCAGATGCCTATCCAACCTCTGCTTAAAAACCTCCAGTGAAGGAGAGTTCAGCACCTTCCAAGGGAGTCCATTCCAATGTCCAACAGCTCTTACTGCCAGAAAGTTCTTCCTAATATTAAGGTGGAATCTCCTTTCTTGTAATTTGAATCAATTGGCTTAGGGGCCCTACCCTCTTCCATGTGACAGCCCTTCAGATATTTGACAATGGCTATCATATCACCTCTCAGTCTTCTCTTCTCTGGAAGATGCACCATATGGTTCCTTCTAACTGCACTCCTCCCAGTGTTCTTTTCTCCTCTGGTCACTGCTATGGATACATGACTTGACTGCCTATCTCCAGGCACTGGGGTCGTCTGCAAGGGATTCCCACACGGCAGCCTTCATGTCACATGAGTTGGTCTGCCTACCAACCTGGCATCAGAAGCCAGCTTCTCATAGAGCTCCTGCCCTCTTCCATTCTGTGGACATGACCAAGCCAGTGTAGACATCACTGAGACAGGAATGTGAACATGCTGGGAATATGGGCTTGAGAGAGCACATCTTTGTTTGGAATTCTGTCCTGCCATTTGATACCCAAAATCCTCCTGACGCAGTACATGTCAAAGGCTTTGGGGGTGTTGCTCTTGATGGTTGTAAGTTGCCCACAACTCACTTCCATAAAGCAGCATGCTCAACACACAAACCTGGTAGATCTTCATCCTGGTATTGGACATTAGTATCACATTCACCCATACCCTTTTGCCGTAGCTGCATTGCCAATATGCTTGTCCAGCTCAGCATCAATGGAGAGATTGTTGGTTATGATGGAACCCAGATAGACAAAATTGTCTACCACCTCAAGTGTGTGGTCACTAATGCTGATCTGTGGAGTGCTGGTGACATCATCAGAGTGTGCTGTCAAGGCTGAGTCATCTGTAAACAACATCTCATGGATGAGGATCCACCACATTTTAGTCTTGGCACAGAGACATGCCAGGTTGAACAGACCCCTGTTGCTCCTTGTATGCATGTATATACCATCTTCAGTTGAGCTGAAGGCATATGAGCAAAACATGAAGCAGAATATGCCAAAGAGGGTTGGGGCAAAAACACAGCCCTGTTTTATACCACTCTTTATTTAGAATAATCATTGAAGTCCTTTATCATTGAAGTAGGATTTAATGACAATGTGTGTGATGCTCTGTCTCACTTCAAAGAGGCAATCTAAGGCCTGATCCAGACATTACTCTGGACTTTTTCCAACTGCCCACAAGCAATGGAACACAAGTGGTAAAAGTCTATTGAGTGCAGTCTTGCAGTAACCTCTACAAATGTTCCAGGTAAGTTTCAATGAAAACATCAACAATCCCTAGCTGCATTGCTCACATGAATGGAAATGGAACTATGAAAAACAGCTCAGTAAGATAGGAATCCTCAGCTTACTTCATTCTGTGGCATTCATGCTGACAAATGGTTTCAATACCTCTCAACATTGTCAAGCGTCATGCCACATATGGTCGTGCATTAAAATATCTCTTTAACTGCATTTAAATTTATCCTCCTTCTATATGTCACCAACTGATGCTACACAAGCCAGATACTTTGATGGGAACTGAAAAAGTACATTCAAGACATATTTGGCAAGACTGAATTTCTCATTCTGCAATGCCAAATTATCCAAGAATTTTACAAGTCAGTACTATCAAGCTGGCAACCTCCCTTCCAGCTTTCAGTTAGGAGGAACATAAAACATACATTCTTTCACAACTTCAGACCTTTGGCTTTTATATTTCATTTTATGGAGAATATGTCAGGCTTTCAAAAGGCCCCCTTGTACCCGCTTGCCCATTTTCACAGAATGATGCAGAGGGACAAGTATCTAAAAATATTGGAAGACTTAAAAATTATGGTCACTTGGAATAATCAGAGCTATTCATTTATAACCCTGGATTATGAAAATGCCTGTATTGTAGGCCCTTCACCAAAGAGCAAACTCTTTGACTTCAGTCACAGTACCTATTCATACGATTGCAATAGCTTTAGCATGTTGTAAAGCAAGTAGATCAATTTTCAGCTCACTATTTAAGGGAAATACACCTTTTCGTCTTTTGTATAAATTCCATATTCCAGCTATCCACTATAAAAAATAATGAACATAATCATTGCAAATGTACAGCTCTGCATCTGAACACAATACTTGCAATAATATAATAATAATGAGCATAATCGCTGTAAAGTGTGCAGTCTTCCACTGTCATAAAAATCCTTTCAAATCTTTTTAACTGGGATATTCACCTAATTCACAGTGCAATCATATACACTTCTACTCTGAAGTAAACCCTACTGAGTGCACTGTGACAATCCCAGGTGTGTGTGCATACAACTTAAACTGTCAGAGATGCAGGGCTGAAATGACATGTCAAACAAACCACACAAGTCTTGAATTCTCTTTTTAAAAGTTAATTTTATCAATGTTGTGATAGATTATATCTTCTCAATCCAATCTAATAAAAACACTGCATTTCTCTTTTTCCATTTCTTTGCAGTATTTATTTTTGCACCTGCTAATAAGTTGACCACCACCCTCGAGTCATTTTCAGGAATTGTGGTTTTTAAGAACCCTAAAAATATTGCCTTGGGATCATAACGTATATGGCAACCTACTGTTTCCGTGATGGTGTTGTAGATGGCGAGACACTGTGTTTAGGTTTGGACAACAACTTCCATCAGCCCTAGTCAGCTGATAGGAGTTATTGTTCAAAACTTTTGGAGGGCACCAGGCTAATATAGGAGATAGTATTTGTGTGATGAGCTACAATAGTTTATATCTGCTTTTGTGGACAAGTGTCCAGTAAATGCCATACAGGATGGTGGAAATAGCTTAGGGTTATATCTGCTCATAGTCCTGGGTTCATTCTAAGACAAATCTATGTCTACAGACAAACATCTTACATTAATAACACACACATATATTGCACTTTCAGTATGTTTGGGGAGATGCAAATAATATGCATGCCTAAACTATGCACTTGAGAACACAATGCTCAATAAAGCCCTCACAGCTAAGAGGCAATGTTTTTCAGGCTTTGACAGAAGACCTTATAAGGAACCATCATATAAACTACTAATATTCTTTCCAAAACCTGTTAACAGGGGAACATGTTCTCAGTGTAGACCCCTCCCCAATTCTGAGAGTGTTTAACATCTTCAGTTTCCAAAACGGATAGCAAAGGACAGAAGACAGGTTGCTAGCAATGAAGAAAACAAAATAAAGTAATCCCCACAGATGCCATTTTACCATAGCATTTTTAAATTCCTAGTTCCTACATTACTTAACAAGCTTTAATAATAAAGGAGAGTGTTGTCCTATTACATGTTTAGGTTTTGTCTGATGAAGAAAAATAACAGGCTGCCATAAGAATTAGAGCATTTGAATTATTATTTTTTATCCTTTCCCAAATGATCAGAGGAAAGTACCTTACATTAAGAATGTATCTTCCTTGCTCTTGAAAGGGTAAAACGAAATAGTCTTCTAGTAATTTTAAGCCTGCCATATAAGTATTATGCTGTTAGAGATTTCAAAAGGTTAGCTTCAATGAACCTGACATGAATCTAACCCAAAATAACCCATTCAGGGGAAAAGTAAGAAATAATTGCTGTTTTCTCTTCTTCTTCTTTTTCCTCAGCTATATTGCTATAATGATTTTGCATAACAGATTGAACAAAGTGCTGTTGTGACAGGTGGTAGAATTCAGCTAGTAAGCACAGAGACAGGGTTCAATTTAGTTTGTGAATCCTTTAATTGTTGTGCAGCTAATTAAAGAAGGTTCTTTACACTCGCAAGTGTTTACCGTTGCTAGTATGCATACATGAAAAATTAAATTGTGCCTTCAAGGGCTGAGAACTATAGAAAAATCATAGCTGATGCTGCAACATGCTTACCAGCTCAAAATAGCTGCTTTTTTCACAATTGGAATTTGTAAAACTTTTTGCTAAGCAAATATAGAGCTAATTAGAAGTGTTCGTTGGACCAATTAACATTTAAATAAATAAGCCATATTGCACATTTCACAGTCTTTATTTAATGATGCTTCTTAGCTCTTTGGAAAGATTCCTTTAAGTACAAATAAGTTGTCATAAAAAAATGAAAGACAAAAATAGCAGCACAAGAGAATTTTCAATGCTTTTTTTTTTCTTCCCCTCCCCCTTGGAGGCTTTGCGGAAAACCTTATACAGTACCTGGTATGTGAGTGAAAATGACAGAAAGTGGCTCTTTCATTCATCTTTCCAAGTTACCTTTCTAGCCTTTTAAATGCAAACAGGAAAACAAATTTGATTTACTATTTTAAAGTGTTGTGGTGGCAATGTTTGCTCACTTGCAGTTTTGGTCCTATGGTACAGAGTCTGTTTTTAGAGAGAGAGAGAGAGAGAAATCCTACTTTTATCTCGGAAGGCAGCCAAATGAGGCAAAGGGAGCTCCTGAAATGGGGGCAAAAACTGGAAGCTGCCACATTGAGCACGTGTGAAAGAAAACAGCTAATTTGAAGTTCAACTGTGAACACTCCTGCGTCTGACAAAACAGTTTGATCTTCACCCCAGTCATTAGGCAGAAATGTGCCAGGATGTAAGCTGACTTCATAGGGACTAAACAAACTGGCTTAAATAAACCAGTTAAGCTAAGCTTACCTGGTCTGTAAACTGAACGGTGCTGCTGAGTGGATGCCTAGCCCAACTTAATTTACAAGCTACATCAGCTTCTCTCTCATCAATCAAATGAAAATGTGCTTAATATTTAATCTGTCAAATTCCAAAACACAGTAAGACCACATTTGCACCAGACATTTAAAGCACTATTAACAGCTATGGCTCCACACCCCCAAGAATCCTGGGAACTGTAGGTGATTAAGGGTGCAGGGAGTTGTTAAGAGATCCCTGTTCCCCTCACAGACCTACAATTCCCAGAGTTCCCTAGGATGAGGAATTGACTGTTCAACCACTCTGTGAAATGTAGATCTGTGAGGGGAAAGGGGGTCTCCTAACAGTTCTCAGCACACTGGACAAACTATAGTTCCCTGGATTCTTTGCAGGAAGCCATTACTATTAAAAGTTGTATAATAATGCTTTCATTGTACAGCGAAGATGTGACCTAGTTTTCTTTTATTAGTGCCCTAGCATTTTCTCCCTTTCCCCCCTTATATATTTGCTAATAGAAATTATATTAAAAATGAAGATTTATTTATTTTTTCTTATTACCATTCCCCCGGAAAAGGTAAGAGATCTTGCAATCATGCTAATGTGGATGGAACTCACTTATGACCTTGGCTCTCAGGAAAAAAAAAATTAACAAGCATCAATTAGCATTTAAATAAATATGCCAGATTAGTAAAGAATGCCCTGAATACAAAAGAGGAACAGTAAATGCTACTTTCTACATGCATGCTCAACACCTGAAGACGATGGCACTACCTCCTGATGAGCTGCAGGTGTGAATGAGCCAGCACATATCAAAATGCTAAAGACAGAATGGTTTCATAGATGACCTCGGGGCCGGCCCTACAATGAGGCAGGGTGGCCAGATCTGTGCCATGTGGCCTTCTCTGTACCCGCTACGCCAGCCTGCTTCCCTCAACTGCAGTGGAAGACACTGTCCTTTCACCAGGATTGGAGTAAGATTCAGCTACCTGTCCAATTGAGTTCTGTATGTGCCTTGGGATAGAGCACCACCTTGTCCTTCACCTCAGGCAGCAAAATATCTTGAGCTGGTCCTGGATGACTTCGTCTCACATAAAATGCAAGAGACAAAGGCTAAAGTTCATCCATGGCTTCAGAAACCATGGTTTATGATGCTGTGGAACAAGCACTACTCTCTTGCCCCTCCCCACTTTCCCTTTTCTCCTCCTTTTGCTATCCTGGTTTGTTCACCGGCATTAAGACTAAGTTGAGATGTTTGGATCTAACAGGGAAATGTGGCTTAATGCAAGCCAAGATCTCCACAACAAAGTTGGCACACCATGGGAAGATGGGAGAAGGAACCCATGACCATAGCACCATGGACAAATGACTAAAAGTGGGCACAGTAAGAGGCAGAGAAATGGGGAACTTTCAAAAGGAGGAGCAGAGACTTGCAGGTGATCAAAATTGCCACAAGATCTGAAGTACTGAAGGAGAAAGGTGATACAATCATAGTGATGGAAGAGAAAATTGAGTATAGCAGAAGCACTTTGGATCAACTGAAGAAAAGAGAGAAAATGTCAGCAAGTGACAACTACAGTAGTTTAGATGACCAGGCATTGCTGTGTTTGCTCTCAGTAGATGAGAAGAGGAATTTCATGGGCAGGAGGAACAAATGGAAGGAAGCTTCAATATGATTTGCATGTCGAGACCCCGAAGCCACCCCCTCGTTGAGAAATAAAACACAAGGACACGGATATTAGGTTAATGTTATTGGGCAAATTTGACCACAACTTTATTGATTACAGAATGTGAGCGGTATTGGCTTAGGCATTGAATGGACCCGACTATATCTGACTCCTGCCCGATGTGCAGGAAGTCCGGTAAGGGTAAACCACTGGAAGGGGGAGCCCTGTCGATGTATACCAACTCGAGCTCCCCCTGGTGTTCCCGTAGGGGTTGTGTCATGGCCCTAGCCCCCGACCCGGGCTTCAGACAAGATCAACACCCCTGGATTCCTTTAACGGAATACCCTTAAACTTGGAAGGGCAGGTGATGGCCACACCTCCCCTCCCCCATCACAAGGTCAAACAATGCCTAACCGCAACCCTAACAAAGTTGTGACGATTGCTACGAGGTAGGCAAAAACCAAATGGCCAGTGCCAATTTGTCAAATGGAAAAATTCCTACCAGGCCTCTTAATGGCAACCAACCATGGTCCATAGCAAGGCCAGTGCCTAAAACCTACAAATTAGGGAGGGAGGGTGGGTGATTGAGGAAGCGAGCCAAAGAGGAAGCCCTCTGGCTCGTGCCTCTGATTAAATGGTCCTGGCCACGCCCCCCCAGCCAGCGGATTGGCTGGCTGGGCTCTGACATGGCCGGGATCCACCGGGCAACAGGGGACTAAGTCCCCCACCCCCAGAGGGGAGTGGATGACCACGTGGTCCACTGCAACTCCTCCCCACGGGGAAGTGGAGCGGATGTAAAGGGAATATTGAATCTATCAGTTGACTGGCTAGAGAAAAGAAGGGTATGTGTCTGAAAGACGGGGAACTGGTTGAGGACTGTCTGTCATTCAAGGTTGTTACAGTTAAAAGAAAACAAAAGTTTGGCACTAACCACCAATCATGACAATGCTGTCACAAAAGCCGTACACGGAACATGTGGGAACAAGTGTGAATTATAGTAATGTTACCTTTTTTCAGAATACTCAGACCCCTCCCATAATCACAAGCATGCTCCCAGGAACAGAGTACGTCTCTTTCCATCAAAGGCCTGCCATAACCCAGTAGTCCAAATTCCCCCCCACCCCCCACACACACTCCCAACTCTATCTCATCCCTCATTATGCTGGTGAGGCACACTGCCAAGAGGAGGTCCCATTGCCACAATGACAGGACACCAGCATATATCTGACTTCTGTTGGGATTTGGAATCGACCTATACCTGGCAAGCATGCATGTGCTGGGGAGAAGATCTCTACATATCTGGTACTGTTGTGTTGGCAGGAACATGCAATGTCCCACAAATGAATTGCAAGAGAGAGCCTTACAAAGAATCCTGCTACTGAAAGTTCTGAAAGGATGACATGAACCTGACTCCTTAATGGTCTGACAAGCATTTTCCTCAACTTTTTATATTATAAAGGTTTATTATTATTATTATTATTATTATTATTATTATTAATTTCAAGAAGTATAAATATGTTATGGGACTTCTAAGTGACTTCCTTGCCTCCCTATTCCTCAGTCAATCCACAGATGGGACTGAAAGACAACCTTGTAATTGCACAACTCTTGGTTTAATGGCTCGTGTATTACATTCCAGAAAAAGCTATAAATCCCAGACTTTCAAAAAGGGCTGTGATAGGGGAGAGTTTGGGTTTCTTATATTTGACACTAAAAGACTATTTACCAATGTGGGTGTTGGCTCAAAAATGTCTCAAACATCAATGACCTTTATAAATAATGTAGAGTTCATAAAGATGATTATCATGTTCTATTTAAAAATGCATAAAGAGAGAGATAATAACAATGATTTGCACTTCTGTCTATTGAACTCCAAGTACTAATGAATTTATCCTCATAATGCTCCTACATTTTTCAGTATAACAACAATATGAATATAGTTTAGATTGCAAACCTACACAAACAAGAAAATAAAGTCCAGATGTGCTGCTTTTTATGCACCTATACGTACAGGAAATTGGACATCCAAATAACTGGAATACTTTAAATATGTTGGCTGTTTCTTAGACCCATGGCTAAATGGGGTTTAATTTGTCTCCCTGAAATTAATCTGGTTGCCTAGAAGAACTTCTTTGTGCTGTTGTCATGTACAGATTTCAATGATATGATGATGTTATTATTTTATGTGTATGAATAAACAGCTCAGGCCCTGCTCAGTCACCTCCGACTTTGCAACCTCTTGTTATTACAATTTCCAGCATCAGGCAACCTTGGTTGCTAGATGTTGCTGCTTCCTATTCATCCAGAACAAATGGCCAGTCTGCAGAGAGGTGTTCTTGGTGGCTGGTCTCCTTGTGTAGATCCTTTGGGCTGTATCCAACATTCTCTGTCTGCTACTACAGCGGCTCTTGTACTAGTGGAAGGGTGAGTCTTAATGATGTGCAACAGAGAGTTCAATGGCATGGCTGCACCAATGGAAACTTGTTGTGCAACAGATTCCTCAACTCTTGTGTAACAGTTACTGGCAACCTGCTTATGCATTGTCTTGCGCGATACCATTCTGCTGGAGCAAAACATTTCACCAGCACAAGCAGACTTCTAAAAGACTTTCCTGGCATTATTTACCGTATTTTTTGCTCTATAAGACTCACTTTTTCCCTCCTAAAAAGTAAGGGGAAATGTGTGTGCGTCTTATGGAGTGAATGCAGGCTGCGCAGCTAGTCCAGAAGCCATAACAGCAAGAGGGATTGCTGCTTTCACTGCGCAGCGATCCCTCTTGTTGTTCTGGCTTCTGAGATTCAGAATATTTTTTTCTTGTTTTCCTCCTCCAAAAACTAGGTGCGTCTTGTGGTCTGGTGCGTCTTATAGAGCGAAAAATACGGTATTTCTTATTTCATAAAATTTACAGTTTAGCACTACATTGAATTACAACTTTCTCTCTGCTGGAGGCAACGTTATGGCTGATTCAGATATTAAGGCAGATATCTGAAGGTTTCTGCATATTAGCAGTTTCATGGGAGGATGGTGATATTTGTTAGCAGATTGCCATATGGCTCAGCCCTACCTGGAGAATCACATACATGGTAGTCGCTAATGTTGTCACACAGGCCCTCCACTGGAGAAGTCCACTTCATTGGGGAGGGCCATTCTGGTGTCATATCACATGGCTGCTGTAACCTTTGAATGCGGCCTACACATCTTTATTTTGATTTAAATTTAACAATGGGTGGAAATGGTGTTGTCATGTGTTTATTTGTATTTTACTGCAATGCATACTTTTACCATCTATTACCTATATGAGCTGTGAGGAACAGAACATGCTATAAATCTGAATAAGCAGATCTTACAACTGCTTAAAGAAAATATTACAAGAGCAAAAGAAGGATCAATGTTCAAATGGACCCATTCCTACCAATGTAGATAGATATGTAGATAAATAGATGATAGATAGATAGATAGATAGATAGATAGATAGATAGATATAAAGACATATAACAGGGGTGCTATTGCTGGTTGGAAATAATGGGTTGTATTCAGTGTTAGTTCTGCTCAGAATACTTCTATTGAAATTAACGAGTATAACTAACTTGGATTAAATGATTTCAATTTGTCTACTCTAAGTAGAACTTAGTTGGCTACAACCCAGTACAAACCGACTCCAAACTGAATCACAAACTCTGAACTTCT